TGCTCCTGGTAAACCTGCACCCAATTCATCCTTTGATATACTGTATATGCTCCAAGATGGAGGCTTTCATAGATTAGAATTAGGACCACACTACACAAAGGGGCCTTGATGACGCAGTGTGGCTTACACATATTTTCCAAAGGTTGTGAAACTAAAACTTCTATTTTTAACCATAGACAGTGTAATTTGTTTTGTTTTTTTTTATGTTTTTTGCAGGCTAGCTGGTAAGTGTGCTGGCAAATTTTTGCCTTTAACCCTTTCCCTGCCAAGGACGTATGGCATATGGAGGTACAAAAGTGTTTTCGGCTGGCCAAGGACGTATCTCATACGGACCTGGCATTTACAGTTCTGCTATAAGCTCATGGTCGCTTTAGCGGCCATGAGCTTATACTAGAACTGTTCCCCGGACTGTCCCTTTCAAATTAATAGCTGTCATCAGCGGCTCACAAGCCGCTGATGACCGCTATTAGCAAAAATACCAGGCGCCCCCCCCACGGCACCTGCTGCATCTAGAGTCTCCCATCCCTTGGAGCCGCTCCAGGGAGGGATGAGAGACTCCATGGATCCCCGCTGCTGTCCCCCGCTTGTAGGGTCTGTGGCAGCGGGGATCCGAAGTCAAATCACCATGGGGGGGGGGCAGAGGAGCGAGCGGCGGCTGGCCGCAATTCAGGATGGCAGAGCGGCAAGTATACCGGAGCCGTTGTCATCCTGTCAGTTTTAGGATGACAGCGGCTCTGTGCGTGGCCGAGCGGGGGATCGATAAATATCACTGATATTTATTGATCCTCCTGTGCAGAGCAAACATCGGAGTGATCGTCTGATCACTCCGATGTTTGTAAATAACTTGGGGACACATAGTACTATGTGTCCCCAGTTATGAACAGGCTGTGATTTACATCACTTCCTGTTCATTCAAGAATTTATGAATGGGGAGTAGCACTCACTATAGAGGCTCCTCCCCATTCATAAACTGGTGATAGTAAAAATATTTTGCTATAATCAGTTTCTGAATGAATGAGAAGCTTCTGTACTGAGTGCTTCTGTACTGGGACTGCAGAAAAATAAATTGATGTCCTCAATTTCTTTTTCTATTTCAAAAGGGACATGTCAGGGGTCTGTTTAGACCCCAGATATTTCGCCGCAGCCCCTCCACCCCAACAGTAAAAAAAATATTAAAAAATAAAATTATTTTAAAAAAAGTGTACAAAAAAAACTAATAAAAGCACAACCCCTCCCTCCCCCCACATAACATACACATATTCAGGTGTATGCCATGCACATGCGCTGCAGTGCGTTGTTAGAACTCATTGCAGTGCATGATTTTTTTTCTTTTAAAAAAACCTTAAACTAACTGTGGCAGCGCATGGCAACGCTTTGTGACGCATTGCCATGCGTTATGATACCTTGTGTTGCAATTAAATATACACCTGTATCATTTTATCACAACACAAACGCCAACACAGCGTAAAAACTATTTTTTACGTAAGTCGCTCATTTACAGTTTTGCGTACCTTCATTTTTTTACCTTTTCGCAAAAAGGCGCAATTACAAATTTGCTAATATTTGTTATTTATTAACTCGATACAGTTTTTTTTATCTTTTTAGATTTAGTCAGAAAATATTTTTTTTGTGTGCACTGATACTGATTTTGGTGTGTTTTAACAATTGAATTGTGTATTTTTATCAGTTTAATATTAATTTGAGAAACATTTGCGCAATTATCGCAGGGCCTACAAATTTAGTATCAATCTCTTTTTAGTCTACTAGCTGATTAGAAAAATGTTCCGGAGGGCTTGGCAGCGAAAGGGTTAAACACTCTAGGGTAGGAGTGTCAAACTCAATTTAATCGTGGGCCGCATCAACATTATGGTTGCCCTCAAAGGTATCTGTAAGACTATATAAATGCATCTAATCTTTATCATAACTGCCTCTGCTTTCGATTTATAACTGGTTTTAGTAATAACTTAATACCTAGATCTGAAAGTAACTTTGGCCGACACGTACAGCTCCGTGCTGCGTGCACAGCCGTATCGGGCAGTTCCCAGGAAGGACAGGTGCTGCGTGTGATTAGTACGCAGCCCCTGTCCTTCTCTATGGGAGTATGCGGCCGTACGGCCCCCCTACGCTCACCCGCCCTGCACGTCCGTAGGAGCATACGAGTACAATCACCTGCACCGATGTGCAGGATCGGTGAGCATAGGGCGGCTTACGGCCGCGTAGTCCTATAGAGAAGAACAGGGGCTGCGTACTAATCACATGCAGCACCTGTCCTTCCCGGGAGCTGCCCGATACGGCCGTGCACGCAGCACGCAGCTGTACATGTCACACACACACACACACACACACACACACACACACACACACACACTAAATGAAGCCACAGTGGCCCTCCCTCCGCCGTCTCTCTGCCACCTGCACCGCTACAGATGCGGCTTTCTAATCGCGCAGCCGCTCGCTCCTCAAAGGCCCCAGTGGGCGGCCCTCTAACATGCCTGATTAGAGGGCTGCGTTTGCCTGATCCAGCCAGCACGGATCGCATACCGAGGCTCTGCATTAGTTCTGTCACAGCGGCTCCGCCCTCCCCCGCCGCCGGTTCCTTCACTTCTTCTCGGAACCCCGCTAGGGAGAGCAGCGGGGGTCCAGAGAAGCGGCGGGAGGAGAGGACATGGCGATCTACCAGTGATCGCTACGCGATCGACTGGTAGATCGCGATCGACCTTGTGGGCTCTAGGGGGAGTACAATTGGGGAGTCAATGATTGAGAAGAATCTGGATGTTTTAGTAGACCATAGATTTAATAATAGAGTGCAAACGTCATTCTGCAGTTTCTAAAGCGGGCAGAAAATGTTCTTGTACTAAAGGGTGTATAGACTCCAGAGAGAGAGACATAATTGTGCCCTTGTACAAAGCATTAGTAAGTCCTCATCTGAAATGTGCAGTATGGTTTTGGCCAACAGTTTACAAAAATAATATTGTGGACCTGGAGAGAGTGCAGAGAAGGGCAACTAAACTGATGGCATGGCGGAGCCCAGCTATTAGGAAGATTTAGCTGAACTGAATTAAGGTGGGTGGGGATATGATCATATATAAATACATAAATGGTCCATATAATGAACTTGCACTTTAAGGTCACTTCAAAGGACAAGGGGGCACCTTGCATCTGGAGGAAAAGAGGTTTAACCTTTGCATGCGGAAAGGTTTCTTCACACCAAGAGCTGTGAAATTGTGGAATAGCCTTCCTCAGGAACTAGTTCTAGCTATTATATATGTGTATATATAAATAATACACAAACATATGGTGGTTTATTAACAGGAGCTTTCTTTCAATATATGGAAATATTGCATGCCCTCAACGACATCCAGAGTCCTATCTGTAAAGGCCCTAAAGCTGTTTGGGCTTTCTATTTTGCAAAGCCCTCCCTGCCTAGTGGGATATTGGTGATCTACTCAACACTTCAGGACAAACTCTCTTTTGTGAAAATCCATCACCTAGAAAATGGGGAGTCTCTCCTCCAAAAATGGCCTTGAGCTATGGTGGCCACTAATAGGGTTACAAAATGTGCTGATCTCTGGTTGTCTCGCAAGATTGTGCTGCAATGGTACTTTACTCCCTATAGATTGGCTAAAATACTCCGGTTATATTCCTCTGCTTGAAAAGTTTCTGGGGTAAAATATTCCAATTTCTCTCAGAGATCATGGGCATATTTATGCCTCCTTCACCCGCATTGGCTTTACCTTGGTATCGATGACTTAACAGTTCACTTCCGCACTGTTATGAGGCGCTGGAAAAGCGTAGTTGCCCCCAATATATCTGAACCCTTAACCATTGTTGAGCTTCATTTTCATTATGAGAAATCATGTCCTTGAAAGAAGGTAGGCTTTCCCACTTCGATACATCCTGGAAATCCTTTGGTATAAATCATAACTGGTTACTATTTACGTCTCATCTGCTTGATTATAGTTGTAATTCTTGTACTTTTACCTCCCCCCCCCTCCAATCCTTGTACCTTTTGCAGAATATTAGTCTGTCCCTGATGTTTTTCCTGGAGAGAAGTGGCTTCTTTGCTGCCCTTCTTGATACCAGGCCATCCTCAAAGTCTTCGCCTCACTGTACGTGAAGATGCGCTCACACCTGACTGCTGCCATTCCTGAGCAAGCTCTGCACTGGTAGTGCCCCGATCCCGCAATTTAATAAATTTTAGGAGACGGTCCTGTCGCTTGCTAGACTTTCTTGGGCACCCTGAAGCCTTCTTCACAACAATTAAACCTCTCTTCTTGAAGTTCTTGATAAACCAATAATGGTTGATTTAGGTGCAATCTTAGTAGCAGCAATACCCTTGCTTGTGAAATCTCTTTTTGTGAAAAGCAACGATGACTGCATGTGTTTCCTTGCAGGTAACCATGGTTAACAGAGGAAGAACAATGATTTCAAGCACCGCCCTCCTTTTAAAGCTTCCAGTCTGTTATTCTAAAGCTGGCCAAACACCTTACAATTATCTGCTGATTTTCTGTGGTCAGATGGAAAAGGTGAAACAGATGCCTCCATCTACACTTAACTGTGTGGATGAGATGAAGTAATCTCCACCTGGGCCAATCTGTTGCACTTTTTCCATCTGACCACAGAAAATCTGCAGATAATTGTAAGGTGTATGGGCAACTTAACTCAATCAGCATGACAGAGTGGTCTCCAGCCTTGTTCTCGTCAATACTGACACCTATGTTAACGAGAGAATGACTGACATGTCAGCTGGTCCTTTTGTGGCAGGGCTGAAATGCAGTGGAAATGTTTTTTTGGGGATTAAGTAATTTTCATGGCAAAGAGTGGCCATTATGAATGTGTCCCAGTTATCCAGTTGGATTTATTTGGAAATTATCATATTGAAATCTTGCTCTGACTGAATTCACCAGTCTCCAACTATAACTAAAATATCACTTTTGGATGACAATTTAATGAAAACTGCCTTTTTGTTTAATTCTCCTGATTTTTAAATGTTTCCATAGGAATACATGAAGACTATCAGTTGCCTTACTACGATCTTGTTCCTTCTGACCCATCAGTGGAGGAGATGAAGAAGGTAGTTTGTGAGCAAAAACTGAGACCCAACATTCCCAACCGATGGCAGAGTTGTGAAGTAAGTACTATTTTGAAAAATGTGAAGTATTATTGTGAAAATCAAAGATTTAGGTTTTAAGATGATAAAATTCTGTGATGTTAAAGTGACCATGTCACCATACCACACATACGATGCTTAACATTGCTAATAAAGGTTGAATATTACCTACTTACCGTACTTATGATCACTTTGTCCAGTCAGAACATTTTGTTTTTGTGTTCTGTCAGCTATTGTTTACATTTCTGGCAAGTGTCTAAGGTTTTCTTGGCCAGACACCATGCAGTTTCCCTCCATCCCTAACCTCACAAGTGCTGCAGCAGGGGTCTGGAATTCCAATCACCCGACGCCCGGGACATGCAGTTTCGGGCGCCGGGCGAGTCGTTTTTTTTGTTTTTTTTACATTTAGCCCTGCTCCGGACAAGCAGAGCTAAATGTACAGCGTGGGGCCGTCGCTCGTTTTTATACAAGTGAACTGATTAGATCACTTGTATGAAAGGATCGGCGGCTATTGTGTCCGGTCACCGCCGCCGTGACAACGGCACACGAGCTCACCATAGAGCACGAAGAACGGACGTTCTTCGTCTGCTTTGTGTAATCAATGAGACCGTGGTGCTGTGATCACAGCACCACCTATCTCAGCCGTCAGGAACTGCACAGAACGTCAGTTCTGTGTTGGAGGGCAGGTTCTATAGAGAGAACCTGTCACCTTCAAACTATCACATAGGACTTTATAAAGCCCTATGTGTTAGGAATAAAATTAAGTGGGAGAAAAAATTATAAATTTTAAAAAATAAAGTTATACAAAATAATAAAATATATAAAAATTAAAAAAATCAGTGAAAAAGTAAAAAAAAATAAAGTTAAAATCAACCCCGCTGCCACCGTCATCTGCATGCAAATAAATGCATGCAAAGGACATTGTGTGTGTGCGTTGAGTGCTGCCGCCATTCCACTGTGTGCCATATTGTGGTAGCCAAGCAGCAGAACTCTCCTACACGCACAATGTGCATTAAAGGAGAACTATGGGGTCAGTGTTTTTCCCCATAGTTCCCCTAAGGGTCACGGGAGGACATATACTAGCGTTCTCCCGTCACCCAAAGCTCATTATATAGGGAGCTACAGCTCCCTATATACTGAGACCGCCGCAGCCAACTCGGATCCTGACATTACTGTCGAGATCCACCCAGCTGTGTGATTGACAGCTAGCTCTGCCTATCTAGAGGCAGAGCCAGCTGTACCCTCCCCCGTTCGTTCCTCCAGTCAGTGCTGGAGGATGAGAGCGGGGAAGGGGAGAATCCCTGCAGGGAGACGTGAGTTACAGTTACGGCTCTCTGCAGGGACAGGATCAAGAAGTGAGCGAGCGCCGTTATGTGTTCGCTCACTTCCCGATCTATAGAGCCGACCTGTGACTGTTTCATTGTCACACATCGGCTCGAACTATGAGGATGAGTGAAAATCACTCGCCTCATAGTTCTCCTTTTTAAAGAGCAAGCTCACTTTCCCAAGTACAGTACAGTCCCGCCTGTACAGTCCAGATCTATGCTGATTGGCTGGGAAGCCGGTTTCCTGGCCAAATACTATCAAGCCGGCCAAATAACATGGAGTCGGCTTCCCTGGCAATCAGGTAGCTGGGTAGCATGTACTTACCTGCTGCCCAGCTTCCTGATGGCATGGAGCAGGCTTCCCGGGCAAACAGAAGCACCAATACTCTATATTGGTGAGTACCGCAAAGTATCAATGCTCGTACTCGATACGCAAAAACCTATATCGGTGCATCCCTAGTTTTGATTAAAACTAGGGATGTACCGATACCACTTTTTTGAGTAAGAGTACCGATACTTTTTTTCAAGTACTCGCCGATACCAATTACCGAAACTTTTTCTTAAAGGGACAGGTCACATTTTTTCTAAAGCAATACAAAATCATGATTTTAGGTCAGTTTCTAAATATTATGAAGAACATGAACACTTTGTAGTGTGGCACAGCTGTATCCAATTCTGCATACCTGGCTTTATATTATAAGAACTTTATAATATAAAGCCAGGTATGCAGAATTGGATACAGCTGTGCCACACTA